TTTACCAGCAACCCTCCTTGTGTGTAGTGTTTCCACAGTCATTTGGAAAACCGAAAGTGGAAAGAATAACCAAGGCAGCCTTGAAGAGATAAAAAGATTAAAAGTAATTAGTTTGGCCCATAATATAGTTTTAAATAGGATTTAAAAGAAATAGTTTATTGTGTTATTCTAGAGATTACCAGCATTCATTAACTTAGTGCTGGACATGTATTAAGTAAAAAAAAATAAAATAAACCCCAAACCATTTGCAATTATGCAATAAAGTTTATTCCTAAAGGGCATTTTAATTTTTTTATAAGGTTTACTATTTATTCATACCTTTAATTTCACCATACATATGGCTGCTATGTACTATATGCTGATCATTGTCACAGATGCACATATACATCCACAGCTGAGAGTGATTGTAACTTCTTACCAATTTCTGTCCTCTACGTTCCAAACTGCTGCTGAGTACAATCTTATGTATGTTTGCTCAGAACTCAGTGTCACTGTTTATAGTGCAACTTGCCTTTGGAAAGTGTATCTAAGGTTATGTTTTTTGGAAAAGAGGAATATCTGTGACTTTTTCATAATACTGTACAAAATCACAAAGGATCCTTGATAATACCCATGCCCATACCATTTGACAGTCTTCTTCATCTTAGCATTCTTGAGATCTAGAAATCTTCAAATGGGTTGAAGCTATTGTGGGAACTAAATACAGCCTACAGAGAATGTTCATGAAAATATGTTCTGTGTTACATAGTTTTTTAACTACGTACATTTGCCTATGGCAATGTTTCTCAAGCTTGGTGACTTGGCCAATGGCAGCCAGCATGCCTTTGCAATAGACAAGAAATGAGCAATGAGGAGAACTTTCAAAAAGATTTCTTAGTCCTGAGAAAGAGAAAAGCATTAGAAAGAAACTCAAGCTAATCCTGCCTTAGTGTTGTTGATACTTGATGGGGCAGAGAGAAACCGTGTAGGTTTTCAGGATTGAATCCTACAGTGTTCCTGAATTTCCTGTCATATCTGTTTCTTGGCCTAGCCTACTTCAAAGTGCTGATAGGTTTTAAGATTGCAAAGTGAGAGTCCAAGGAACGCATAGAAAAGTCCATTTCCCTTAAGACAAAGAACTTTGTTTTAAATGGGTGTGTGGGAAAGAAAAAGGCACCCTTTTTAGGTGAGGGGTGCAATATAGGGACATCTGTAGCAAGCTGAGAATGACTAAATGAACATGTGAAGTCTTGATGTGACGCCTGTGACATTGCGGAGTATATAGAAAAGACACAGAGTTGTGTTGCAGCATCATGTCACATGTTTTGTCATTAGCCATCTTTGACACCCATCCTCCTGCAACTCTTTGTTTATTAAACACATTTATATTGCTGCTGAACTCACACACAGTGAGCATAATACTCAGAAATGTCTGTTTTCTTGACCAGAAAAAATGATGCTAAGAATTCTTGTTATAGTAGAGGATTCATAATATAATTCAAATGATGAATACATACTTATTTTTGGATTTCATATCTTGGATTAAAATTTGGGTTCAGAATGGAGGGGATGGGAAGGCAACAAATGCAACAAAAATCATTATCTTATTCACCAAAAATGTGACCCCCCCATGTTATTACATTTGAAAGAATTGTTTAACTGGGTGATATCACTTATTTGGAAATTTTATTCAGTGGTCCATGGCTGTAGAAAGTTTGTGAAACAGACATCTTAGAAGCTGAATCAGTCTTTATTATTCCAGAATATTAAGTTTAAGAGTTCAGAACAATAGCTTTAAATTACATGAAAAGAGGTTCAGCTGAATGTTAAAACAAGGAATATTTATTTTATTTCATATGCTGCTTCAGTTTCAATTCTGAGCAGCTCAGGGCAACAATCATAAAACAAAAAATGGTATAACCATGCAAACTTAATTATAATACCCATAACATATAACAATAATTAAAATTATTACTCGCTGTCAGCCCTAGGAAGACGGCAATGTCGAATCATTCCAAAAAAATATTGCCAAGAAAACTGCAGGGAGGCAGTTGTCAAAAGTTAAAACTGTCTGTCTCAAAGGAACAACAAACAAACAAACAAACAGATAAATAATCAATTCATATTAAATCCTGGCATTGTAAGTCAAAACTCTAGAATAATTCATCTTGGCAATTGATGTTTTTTTTTTCCTGGAATTTTTCCTAGAATTTTTTTTCTTAAGGTTGGATCCACCAGCAGTTAAGTGTCATCTTGTAAGTTATCATGACAGCCAGTTCCTCTTCCTTTTTGGACACAAACACATTCCTTGTTGTTCATGACTAATATTTCAACATTTATGAGAAATTGTTGAGAGAGATGTATCAGATAAAATGTATCATATCAATCTAATCCCATTTTTTCATCAAAAATAGAACTAGTATTCTAAAAAAGCATTTCCATATAATTTAGTCATAGAAGATGTGATAATATCTAAAGATTCAGAAATGTGTATTTAGCCTTTGAAATGCTTGGGAAGTGGGGAAGAAAAGTAGATGTTGTTGATTTATAGTTCAAAAACAGACTAGAGGAAGGCTGCTGAACTTCATAAAGATGCTGAATGGCATATGTTATTAAAAATAATAGGAACCATAAAACAAAGAAAAGAATAATGTACACTCAGAAGAGAAAGCACTAAGGATAACGTATAAAATCCTATAAGAGGTTTGACACTACCCTAACTCAAGCCCTGAGGGAAAAGCCTTAATATTGCTTCAGTATTAGGGCCAGTTTCCTCTGATAACTTTTTCTTCATTGTCTCCATGGAAACGGAGCAAAATAGGCTTTGCCTCTATAACTGTGGTAAATGAAAAGAGAGTGACTTGTGAAAAAGAAGGGCAAATGCTTAAATTAGGTCAGAGCTCTCCAGACTTCCAGAGTTTAGCCTGGAATTGTCTCCAAGGAATATATGAATGACCAATATAGATTTTAGCTATTTTCTAAACTTCCATAGTGGGTCATTCCCAGTAACCAGAGAACATTTTTACACAAGCATTTTAGGTTCAACCTAAATGAACCATACTCTGTGTCCCACAGCATTATTGATCTTTGTCAAGTAATCCGTCAGCTTCCCCTCAGTGTGAAAAGAGAGTGCAAAGACAGTGCTAACACTGGGTCCCGTGGTGGAAAATTGCCCCGTCTTGTCTCCTACTCTTTAGTTCTGCCCAGTCTCTGTTGAATGTAACATGCTGTGGTATCACATCACTGCTTTACCAAGCTTCATCTAATCAGAGGGATGACTGAAATGTCCCCTGTCAATAGGTGCCTGGCTGAGGAATTCTGGGAGTTGAAGTCCACAAGTCATAAAAGGGCCAATTTTGAAGACCCCTGGTGTTATAGGTTGAGGATTAGGGCTGTGTGTGTGTTTAAGTGCTTCCCTTTGGCCCCTCAAAGGCTCACTGATTTACTCATCTAGCATTTTAAGGATAGTGGAGATGAACACTAGAGGTTGTAGAAATGACAGTGTGGAAGTGCTCATAGTTTTTTACATCAAGAAAGAAAAAAAATAAGCAAATCTATATATACAATTTCCCAATAAGTTTATACCCATGAAATAGTTTCTTGAGAAGATGTAGTAATTGAAAGCCCTGGAAAGGGAGGACCATTTTAAAGGCAGTTCTAAATAGGACAAGTACATCAACATTTTTAAAACACCAGGAAGGGATATTCTCAGAAAGCCTTCCCTAATGGAGAATGCAGCTTAGCATTATGGGAATCGTTGTCCGTATTTTGAGACTGCACATTTGGGAATGTCCTTGGAAGGTTTTCCTTCTGTTATCAACTACTATTTCTAAATATTCTACTAGAACCCTGGCAGTGGTTAGAATGCAGTATTGCAGACTAACTCTGTCTACAGCTCAAGGTTGACTCAAGGTTGGTAAAACGAGGACCCAGATTGTTGGGGACAATATGCTGACTCTGTAAACTGCTTAGAGAGAGCTGTAAAGAACTATGGAGTGGTATATTCTGTACTTTCCGGCGTATAAGACGACTTTTGAAAGTGTTGAAATCAGTGCTGAAGTTGGGGATCGTCTTATATGCTGAGTCATCTTATATGCCGGAAATAACAGTAGTTTCTGGCGTATAAGATGACTTTCTAGGCATGTGACTCGGCGCCGGTCAGGGGTCGTCTTATATGCTGGGTCGCCTTATATGCCGGAAAATATAGTAAGTCTAAATGCTAGTACTATTGCTATTCATAAAAAATGATCAAAATGGGTAAATCAGTACTATTTGCTGGATTGTCAACCATATGGCTACACAACTTAATTTGATGGGATAAAAGTAGCATTTAAAATGTTTCAATGAGATGACAATACAAGTGTTCTCAGAAAGACTCTTGATTTTATGTAATATTTAATGTCCATTTTTTCTTTACATGATTGTGCATGCTCCTGTGCAAATCACTGTGCTCACACAGATTCTGGCACTGTGCTAAAAGCTCTGTGTACAGTAGTTATGTCAGTTCACATAATCCACACTCCCACTTAAAAGCAACTGGGCTGTGAGGACTGCCAAGAGCTTTCCATGGTACTGGAGGCCTTGGTGTAAAGGCTGTCAGCTCTGTGAAGCAGACTTCGAGAGTCACATCTGAAATATACAAATTGACTTTATGGAGAGAAGAAGTACTGGTGGGATGTAAGAAAAGATATGAAATCCTACCTGAGAATTCGCAGTTGTGATGGTTGATTTACACATGCAATTTACAATGTAGTCCAACATCAAAGGATGCATTTTTATTTATTATTAAATTGCTTTGTTACTCAACTTGCCTCAAGATGCATGCTAAGTGATATGAAAAGCTCTGATTCAGTGAAATTATGAAGTAAGGACTTGTATTCCACATTCTAGCTTCTGTTAGATACTAAATATGTTAAAAGCCATTATCTCTTTGCTCTGAAATATGCCTTGCCCTCTCCTCTCCCCCTTCTTTCAGGTGACTCTTTCATTTCCTATGCATTTCTCTATCTCTTCCTTATCAGCCAGTCATTCCAGACTTGTTAATGACTCCTAGTGACCAAGGAGATGGTGACCTAGAGACCGAATATCCTGAAGAGAGAGGAAATTGGACAGGCAAGCTGGATTTCCTTTTGTCTTGCATTGGCTACTGCGTTGGATTGGGAAATGTTTGGAGATTCCCATATCGTGCCTATACAAATGGGGGAGGTGAGAACTTGACCACCATTGTTTCTTGCCTTTGTGTGGAAGATTTCTATTTCTATTATTATTTTATAGTGAGATTTATATATCTGTACTGACAACCTGCAACAGGAAAAGATATCAGCATTTTTAAAAGACTAGGGCCCCAAAGAAGAGAAATTTTATGTACCATACTTTCCGGCGTATAAGATGACTTTTTCAAGCCTTAAAATCGGCACCGAAGTCGGGGGTCGTCTTATACACCAAGTCGTCTTATACGCTGGAATATGTGGTAAGTATTGTTGCTCTAGCTGAAATGGAGACTGAGCTGTCCATATTAAAATTAAAAAAGGAGTCTAAAGCACAAATAATAACTGTCTTTTTATGAACCTGTAATCCCTGAATTCAAGGCAGAGTCAGGGCGACTGGATGGGAGCTGAGTGTTTACTGACCACATGCTCTTCCTGACACCACACAGAGTTTGGTTCAGATATTTTTTCTTTGCGCTTTAAGAGAGAAACATCTGCCACTACTGCTAACTCTCAACCTTCCTAGTGGGAGGCGAGAATCTTCGCCACTAGGCCACCATGCCACTCTAAAGCACAAATAAACAAATAACATAAATAATAATTTGGAGTCTTTCCATGCCATAACTCCTGTAATTAAACTCCTGTAAAGTGGAATTTAATAAATGTTCTCTGATGCTATATAAAGCATAATATCAAATATAGCATCAGAGGCACATTAGATTCTACATTTATTAAATTCCACATTATAGGAATTTAATTACAGGATTATGTCATGGAAAGATTCCAGGTCATTATTATGTTGTCCCATAGTCACTATCAAATCAACTAATACTATCTGATATACTGCTACAAATTCAATAGACACAAAAGCCTCTTAGGGATAGACGTGTGCTTACTCAAGCCTAATGTACAGGTATCTGATAAAGCATACATATGAGACAATCTTTCTGCAAACTAGAAGACATTGATCTATTAGAAACTGGCATGCATACACTATATATTTGTTCCACTGAACTTATCCATAGTTACACTTCTAAAACTAGCAAGAATTAGAAATAAGGAGCAGAGATTAGAAAAAAAAATCATGAAGCATACAAGTAATATGGAAGAGTTCTGCCTTCTATTCCATAACAATCACAACATCAAAATGGTGATACAAGCCTTACAATAAAAGCAAACAGACATTTCACGTATTAACATCCCATTTCTAAATTATATGTATTACTTCCGCTCATTGCTGACAGAAAGAGTCTGGAGTCTATAGTGTATATATATCACTTCCACTAGTGCCTTTTCCTTCTGATCAATTTGCCACCTGCTGTTTGCTCACCCCATCCCTTGTTGTACTATTTTAATACATTTCTTCAAGAATTACTTGCCATTTGAGATGCTGCAGAAATCTGTCACAGGTTTCTCTTCAAATACAACAGCACATAATTCAAGGAATCTGCAAATGTCTTATTTCAAAATATCTCTCAGTTGTAAAATGATGTACAAGTTTTCCTATATTTGGAGAAGTGACCTTCAAAAGCAATAATAATCAATGTGATATGGACACAGCTGGATATAGTTTGATCTGTACACTCATATCTGCAAATATTGTCAACAAACAACCAGTTGATTTGGTCTCTGCTGATTATTAAATAATAAAGTTGCACTCTCCAGCATGATATCTCTGGCGCTCTATACCCCGCATTCACCTATAATTTGCTAAATGACTTTATCTCCTTTTCTCTTGTTCTTCTTTTTAAATATGTGACAAGTATGGCTTTCATCTGAACTATGTAGCTGAAAGCTCCTCCTCCTCCTCAAAATATTTTCGGGTCCATGTGAAATTCAGAAGATTCTTTGGTAAATGAAGAAGACAAGTCTGAAGAACCAATTTAGTCCAGTAGCTAAGCACCTGAGGCATGAAGGTTGGCTAAGTGACTTTGAGTCAGTTGCTCTCTTCTCTCTCTCAGCTGAACACACCTCACAGGGTTTTTGTGAGGAAGATAGGAGAAGGAAAGAATATTAGATACAGTCACTGCCTTACGTTATTTATAAAAATAATAGATGTGGGATATAAATATGTAAGTAGAAATTGTGTGTGAACAATACAATTTTTCCTTTAAAACATTCTGGCCATCATAATACGTTAATTATTTCCTGTGAAGCAGTTTCAGCATAATGTTGAGCTCCTTTGCCAAATATCTCATGTATTCCCAAAAGCCATGCTGGTGAATCAGTAGGTGGCTTCCTCGTTCTGAATCAGTGTGCTATTCAGCTTGCATGAATAAATTACACCAAAGGGCAACACACTGTGGGAAATGTTTTCTACTGGGCAACAATATCAGCAAAAAGAAGAAAGCAAATTTCTGATCTTCGAAGATTCAGCCTTGAGAAATTAGTATATTCCTTCCAGGATGCAGATATGATTAAGAAAAAAAATGATTCTACACAAGTTAATTTTTCCCATTGAGTTTATTAAAGAATATTATGTTTTCATTGCATTTTCCTGCAGTTCAGGAAAATAAACACTGGAAGGGGAATTAAGAGGCATGCCAGTATGGAGTTGCTTCATACTAGAGGACACATTGTAGACCTGAATAATGAAGTTTTATTTTCTAGTTCCTGAGGGAATGCAGCCAGTCCGGTGAGATTTTTGTAATACAGGTGATCAATAATAAAGAGACTGCTTTGGCCTGCTCACAAAGTTGTTCTGGTTCTTTTCCCATGATAATGACCAAGGTGCTAAGCTGGGACTTGAATAGGGTTGTTGATTGCATTAGTCCTATGACCTTGTCAAGTCATTTATAATAGTGTTGCATGAAAAAAGTAATCTGAATGTTATAGATCTGTGGTTGATAGGCAGTAGACCAAGTATTCTACTTTCAAATTGTTAAGGGATAGCAATGACAGAGTAACTCTCTCAAGTTTAAAAGTTATTGCTGAAATAAAGAGAACTTTAAATAAATAGAGGTAGATTTCAATATGGAAGGAATGTGAACTCTACACACTCCCCCCCCCCTTTTGGTGCCTTTGCATCAGTGTTGACTGCTGGTGATTGCTTAGACAAGTCCCTGTAGTTTTCTTGGCATGATTTCAGAAGGACTTTGACACTGCTTGCTTCCTAAGGCTGGCAGGGAATGACTCACCCAAGGTCATCCAGTTGGCTTCAGGCCTAAGGCAGGACTAGAACTCATGGTATCCTGGTTTCTAGCCTGTTTCCTTAACCATTACACCAAACTGGCTCTCCCCTGCTCATTTCTATTACCAAAAAAGATATTAATGATTTAGATTTCTTAATTCTAAGTATATATATATATATTGTATCAAGTTCTACTTGAGGGATCTTGAAATTCCAGTAAAAGAAGAATGATAAAATAACTATTTCCACAAACTAAAGCCTGCCAACTCCTGTAGTAGTAAATTCAGTTTTCTTTCACATTCAGTGTTTATTCTCTAAACATTTGGGTTGCAACACATTAAGCCTTCATGACTCTCTGAGAAATGAATCCGAATGGAGTCCTGCCACATTAATAGTAGTGATGGTGAGAATATATATCTACGTAGTCATCCCATGTTTTTCTTCAATTTTTTTCCATCTTTTTTTCTGACCACAAAAATCTATGAAGAAAGGAAGACAGTACACATATATCATCTATTGACTCTCCTGAAGCATGCTATGCTTCAATTCCTCTCTGCCAAAGAATAAATTAAGATGTTCCTGCTTCTTTGAAAGTTACTATAGACCAGGTCATGGTATTTGTCAATCAAAAAACTAATATAATGTTTTCTACACTGACTAGTACCAGATTTCTAAAATCTCCAGGAAGTTCCATGCTTCAAACCATTGCAGAAGAAGCTAAGCACTTCTGTGATCTTATGTTGTTGATTGTGCATAGCAATTAAGCCATTTTATTTCTGAATTAATTGCAGTGTAACTTGAATTGCACAAAAGCCAAATGTTCCTTTTTCAAGACTGAAGTTCTGCAAGGCCTGAGGACCAGCTGTTTTCTTACTGTAGAAACTTGCCTGGCCCTGCCATATAGTTTCTAGATTAGTCAGCCGACATCTTACTTCTCTACATAGAAATTCCTCCTCTATAGATCTTTTAACTGCAGCTTCTCACTGATGCCTCCCCTCCTGAAAATGCATAGAGCATGAATTAAATTTATCAAAAGAGGCAGAGCATCCATTGAATCTTGCTTGTTTCATATTTTCCTATTTGACAACAGAAAGGAAGATGTGATTAAGTCTTCTTCTCTTCTCGGTGTTTCAAAATTGGCAGTAGTGATGATCAATGTGCATAATCTTCAGCCTGATTCTGATGGATTGGGAAAAGGAAACTGGCAATGTTGACACAGATAAGAGAGAAATATTCTTATATGCTAAGACACAGAAATATTCTGTTCTTGGGACTATTAAGGAGTGATTCTAGATCTTTCTACACCTAGGAGAAAGATTCTAGCACTAAATTCCAATGCTATGGAGATAAAGTAGTTATAAGAGTTATACGTTTTGTGTTGTGGATTTAAAATATTTGGAAAGTAACAAGCAGAGAGAGTATTATCTCCTTCCTTCTCCTATTTCACACCTAGTGCATGTAGGCAAGAGGAAGAAAAATCTTCTGAGTCAAATTTTCAATTTGGCACTTGGAAACTCTCATGACGAGATTAAAGTCTATAAGACAATAAAAGGAAAAACGCAAAATTAGATTAAAACCTGTTTGGCCCAGCATTTTATCCTCACAGTAGATGATGGATGACATCAACTGTGAGGATAATGGTAGTAGCAGGATATAAATGAAATACTAGTCCCACTCTTACATTCCAGAGCAAGTAGTATAATATCCCTGATGCAGGGAACAATTATTTTTCAGTTTTGGGAATCATTGAGAGTCTTAGTTTCTGTTAGATTATCTTCTAATCACCTCTTAAAGATTTTCAAGTGTGTGACCATCAGAACACCTCCTTGCAAAAAAAAAAAAAGTCCATATTTCTTGCATGAAAAAAAAATCTATTCCATTGTATATCTCCCATCTCTCACTTTTACCAGATGGACCATATTCTAGTTTTATAAGGACCAAAAACACTATCCAATATATAAGGAAGGGATATCATTTAGCTCATGCTGAGATTATCACATTCATCCCAATTGGACCCTTTCTGTCACTTGTTTGTAATTTCTCTCTTGCAGGGGCATTCCTCGTTCCTTATTTCATTATGTTGGCTATATGTGGGATACCCATTTTCTTCATGGAACTATCGTTAGGCCAGTTCTCAAGCCTTGGGCCTCTGGCTGTTTGGAAAATAAGCCCACTCTTCAAAGGTCCGTGTGCAATGCTAATCTAGTTTCGTCATCATTCCTGTCTTCCTTTCTTTTGCAGACTAAATTCTTATGGTTGACAATGGAACAGGTTAGTCCTCATGCATTGTAGAGATGAAAGTAGAATCTTCCTTATCGCAATAGGTGAGAGTAGTAATATACTATTGAATATTATTCACTTTTATACTCGCTTTCGTGACTGCGAAAGTGAAAAAATATTTGGGAAGAGAATTCTCTCTCCCATAGTTTTAGAAGCATAACTGTCCAGGTGGACTAACCCTAGGCAGATTTAATATAGATAGCTTTTTATTTTTACAAAGCTGACACATTACAAAATTAACTCACTACAAATTAACTCACTACAGTCTTCTAGAATTCAGTAAATTCCAAATGTTAAGAATGAATGGAACTATTCAATTTCCAAGGCTTAATAATTAAGAACTCTGGGAGTTATAATTCCGATACTTCTGTAGGGCTTTAACTTGGGTATCCTAGGAAAATGGCTGGCTAATTTAAGACTTTGAAAAAAGAGCTAAATTTAATGTGTGATCCAATGCAGAAGAAGACAGCATGACTATTGGTGCCCTTACAGGGTGGCTAGAAAGAGCTAGCAATGTCAATTGAGCTCAGGGCTGCTTTTATAGCAATAACATTTAAACTTATATACTGCCCCATAATGCTTTACAGCACTCTCTGTTTGGTTGGCAATGTAAGCATTATTTGCATAAGGCCCCCAACAATTTGGGTCTTCATTTTGCCAGGATGGAAGAATGGAAGTCTGAGTCAGAAACCCTTGAGCCCATCTGGATCGAACCTAGGCTGTGGGCAGAGTTGCCTGCAATAATGCACTTAATCACTGTGCCACCAGGGCTTCATGTAAATGCATCCGGAATAGCAGTAAACAACCATCAACTTTGGGGGTTGCCTGTGTTTTGTTGCTATTATATAACATTTCTGCTCTTCTTTAGGTATTGGTATGGCCACAATCCTGATTGTCTCCTTGGTGGCCATTTACTATAACATGATCATTGCCTATGTTCTCTTCTACCTCTTTGCCTCGTTGACCAACAACTTGCCTTGGCAGTACTGCGGCAACTGGTGGAACACAGACCTGTGCCTGGACCACCATGTCATGCACACAGGAAACAGTGCTGTTCCTTTCAACACTTCTAACACTGTCAGTCCAAGTGAGGAATATTGGAAGTAAGTAGGTTAGACAAGAAAAGGGTGGGAGGGAAAGTAACCTATGGGGATAGATTTGCCCTCTTCAGCCTGCAGTGCTTTTTTTGTCATAGAACTCACCGGAACAGAGTTCCAGTACCTTTTTTTGGCAGATTTTCCAAGTTTTAAAAGTAACTTTTGAAAATTTGATGTTTGGTCCACATGGATTTGAATCTCTCTGTCAAGCGTAGCAGGTCGGCAGCAAAATCATTAAAATGGTGTATGTGGGCTGCTTGTGTGTTGAGTCCAATGCACGCATACTTTGTCCAGCTGCTTGGCTTGTGATTAGTCATGTGGTTGCGCACTGAGTGCTTACTGTGGGCGATGACCATTATGTTTTGTTACACAACTGACATGCATGGGTGTGTGTACAGTGATTGACTACGTGTGAAAGGTAAATAAAAGATTAACAAGATGTGAATTCCGGCACCTTTTTTCTTACAAAAAAAGCACTGCTCATAAGCATGGTCAGAGGTCAGTAATTATAGTGGTGCTTAAAAGTTTGTGAATTGGTTTTGAATTTTCAGTATTTCTGCATAAATATGACCTAAAATGTGATAAGTAGCTTTCATTTTCCTCCATTAAATGAACAAGCACAATGTTTTGTTTAATTGGGTTGTCTCTATCTAGTGTTAGGGTTTATGTGACAAATAGATCACCTTTTAGGTCGTATTTATGCAGAAATATTGAAAATTGAAAAGGGTTAATAAACTTTCAAGCACCACGGTATGGGAGTTGTAGTCCAAACTAACTGAAGGGCATCATGTTTCCTACCCCAATCTT